ATTTGTGTGACCACAGAGCCTATCGGACATCTGCTTGAGGCCTGTCTCGCGCAGCCTTTTGTTGTTTTGGGGCTGGATGGTCGGAAAGAAACGATAAATGAACCAACACCACCGGCCCGGCAGACCGTGGGGTATGGTGGAGTGTGTTATTTTCGTGGCCGACCTTTTCTAACCCTCCTCTCCCACTGAGAAGGTAGCATCAGAATGGCATTGCTGGTCATCCAATGGAAACACCTTAATGCTGTCGCACCCCATCCAGCTAGCAGTAGTACAAATTCACCCTCAGACCCCCATCATAGTGTAGTAATTTACACCACAACGGTAACTGCTTTTCATCTAACCACTATCCAACAGACCTTTCTGGTATGGTAGGACCTCGAGGGAACAAGTGTTCCACCAGCATAGCTCGTTGGGTCATTCTGACATTCAAGCCCTGTCACTATGTCAAGGTAGCAGCTATCGGTCGAGCCTTCTTTGCCTAACTTCTGCACTGCTCATGTGGTGATTCCACTATGTGCGAGCAATCCTACAGAGGTAACTATAGTCAAAAGCGTGTAATATCATCATATCTAGTTTCACGGTCATCCGAACCGAACCATACAACACGACAGGACGGACTGCATCGCAGTTTACTCGTTTTATAACAGGTATTCAGATATATCACCGGCCCCAGAGATGACCCAAGTTGGCAAACACCAAAAGTAGTATTCGTGCACTGCGCTTTTTCACGCTTCAGGATTTTCTACTGTACAATCCATCAAAATAACATACGGCTAAAATGAAATAGCTGTTAGATTGTCGAAAAATTGAAGTTAGGACTTCAAATCAACCTAATTGTTGTGCATTCTCAGCACGGACACTCATGTGTGTAGTAATAGCCTGCGTGATATTTTCAGCAAGTAGTGAAATCAAAGAAGAACCCTTATGGCCAATAACTGCATATTATAGATCTCAAAGGCAATGCAATGTACAAGGTATTGAAACTGCGGCGACTGCAGCGGCCGAGATGTTTCTAGCCGCTACGAACCTCAATCAACACACGCCACCGTACTGTTCAAAAAATCCTAATTTGTTTAGCGGTTTATAAAAGTTTGTGGCTACTTATATTATTATGTGATAAATCTCGCTGGATAATGATGTGTGCAGAAATCACTAGATACTAATCGATCTGTTGAAAAGTTTTCACCCAGAGCAGAAACTATACTTGGCTAATAGAAAAACCACTAACTTGTGAGAAATATGAAAATTTAGCATATGATCTGGAAAGGATTTGCAAAGATTTGCCAAACGATTTGGAGCGATGTGAATTACTGTATAAAAGATGAGAATTACCTGCTATATATATATATATATATATATATATATATATATATATATATATATATATATATATATATATATATATATATATACTGCTTATAAATTATAACTAGTCGCTTCGTTTTGATTTGTAATTAATTAACGTCCATTCACCTGGAAGTATCTTCAGAAATACCTGAGAACGTAAACATGTACCCTTATATTTATTCATCTTTTTAACTTATAACCTATTTTAACCGGTACTCTGGTAATCTGTTCTCATACATAACAGGTAAATAAACAGTTTGCAGAAAAACTGATAGCAGAGGTCCTCCAATAGCCTGTAAAGAGCACATCGTTAGTTGTGATGGTGGTGGTGGCGCACTTGGGCATCCAAGGTGTATATCAACTTGGTAAGTTTAGTTCCTTATCGATGAATAAGATGATCCTTTATATAAATAACTTTCACACTACGCTTGGTTTTGGTCTAACTACTTAGGATCAAAATAAACCAAAACAAGTCATCAATAATCCCATCCATTTTGGCTAAGTTGTAGTAAACTAGGTTATTGCTTATATAGTCTTATGTTTAAATGAGTAACTACTGTGAGTATGCATTTTTAAATCATGGTGTAAGTGTATACCGGTTTTTCATACAGCTGATTCCTTTCAAATTTTAGTAAACCAAGAGTCAGAAATTTCTCAGAATACGATGAATTAATTATTTTTCATTACCTTCATTTCAACTGCCTTTAGCCTATAAAAGTTATAAGTATATGCATGAAAATGCAATC